GGAATTGGTTTGAAAATGTGTTTAATGCTCTGGGTCAAACAAACATGTCTGCGGGCCAGAGTTTGCTGGCTTCTGTCTCTGCTGCAGGCTCTGCTGCCTCCCAGGAGCACAGCTGGGCTCTGACATGCTGGGAAGATAAAAGTAGGCCTTCCCTGCACACTCTGGCCCCAAGCCCCAGAGTCAGGCACACCCCTCATTCTCAGTTCTCGGAGCAGCTCTGGTGACACAGGAGCTGGCTTCTCCGGAGTCCCCAGGGCGGAGAAGGTCCTTGCTTGAGGTCACAGGGCTGGCAGGTGTGAGCTCTCCTGATTTCCTGCCCAGCCACACCTGGGGGGAGGCATTGGTGGTGGGGCTGGTGTCTGGGGACACTGAGGCTGAGCTTCCAGTGCCGAGATGAGGGTAACCAGGACCAGAAAATCCCTCCTACAGCCTTTGCTGACTTCTTCCAGCAAAGCTGGAAAGCCTCAGCTCCCTGCACACCTGCTAGGCAGCTGCGGAATCCTACTGTCCAGAGGAAGAAACCGAGGCAGGCCTGGCAAGCAGATCCCGGCCCTCTCTGGACCCCGGGCCCTATCTCTTGCCTGTCTCCCAGTCATGCTGGCTATGACATCCTTTTCCAGAGCCCGAGGACCAGGCTGGTCAGAGGCTGCAAGCAGGTGACCTAGGGGTCAAAGTTGACTCACCAAAGCGCTTTGTTTGGCCTGTGTGATAGTTTTCCAATGAGCCACATTTTAAATAGATATCCAGGTTTACGACTTTGCTCGGAAAATGAGGAGACCTGCCTGTGAAGGGACCACACTCACTTCCCTGTTTAAAACACTCCCAGGCTGGGCGTGGTGGTTCACGCCTGTAATCTCAACAACTTGGGAGGCCAAGGCGGGAGGATCGCTTGAGCTCAGAAGTTCGACACCAGCCTGGGCAACATAGTGAGACCTCGTCTCTGCAGAGAAATCAAAAAGTTAGCTGGGCGTAGTGGCACATGCCTGTAGTCCCAACTACTCGGGAGGCTGACGCGGGAGGATCGCCTGAGCCCAGGAAGTTGAGGCTGCGGTGAGCCATGATCCTGTCACTGCACTCCAGCCTGGGGGACAGAATGTGACACCAACTCAGATGGACAGAGACAGGCAGGGAAGGAGAGAAGGAAGGATCCCTGCAGCAAAGGGTGTGTAGAGGCTGATATGGGAGAGAATATGGGGGGGTTGTATTCTGTGGGAGATGGGAGTAGGTAATGAAAGATTAATCCCAACAGGTAAATAGGTACATAGGGTTTAGAAGCACATTCGAGAGCCGACCTTGACCCTAAAAGTCACAGGCCGTCATTAAGGCTTCTCCCCCCACCCCGTTTTTTTTGTTGTTGTTTAAAGAAAGAACTGTGTGCACAAATAACCAAAATTCAAACATCACAGAGGGACACACAAAGAAAAGCCTCAGCTGGGCTCAGTGGCTCAGCCTGTAATCCCAGCGCTTTGGGAGGCCGAGGTGAGTGGATTGCCTGAGCCCACAGGTCCGAGACCCGCCTGGGCAACTTGGCGAGACCTCATCTCTACAATAAATCAAAAAAATTAATCAGGCGTGGTAGCGCTCGCCTTTAGTTCCAGCTACTTGGAAGGCTGAGGCGGAAGAATCGCCGGAGCCCAGCAGGTCGAGGCTGCGGTGGCTGGGAGCAGCCACTGCACTCCAGTCTGGGTGACAGTGAGACTCCAACTAAAAAAAAAAAAAGAAAGAAAAGCCTCCCCTGCCTCCAGCCCCTGATCTTACTTCCAAGAGGCAGTCACTGCTGAAAGTGTCACAGGATTCCATGTGGAAACTGTCGCTTTAGACAAACCCACCCAAATTGTGTCTGCCCCTTCCTTGCTACACACGTGGGACCCCAGAGCCATGCTGGCCCGGCACGCCACACACCTGGCAGCCACATGGTGTTCCATGTCACAGACCCACCTCCAGTCTTCTTCCCATCACCCGCTGGGCTCTCAGGACCCCAGGGCCCCATCCATCTGTTTCCGGCCCCCTCCCTGGAGGTGGGCTTGCTGGTTCGGGTGCCCTACGCATTGAAATATGATAGAAGTTATTGTTTTTGATTCAGGGTCTCACTCTGTTGCCCAGGCAGAAGTGCAGTGGCACAATCACAGTTCACTGCCGCCTCAACCTCCTGGGCTCGGACGATCCTCCCACCTCAGCCTCCCGAGTAGCTAGGACTTCAGGTGAGCGCCAACACACCTGGCTAATTTTTCTACTTTTCGTAGAGTCGAGGTCTTGCTCTGTTGCCTAGGCTGGTCTCGAACTCCTAGACTCAAGCAGTCCTCCTACCGCTGCCTCTCAAAATGCTGGGATTACAGGCATGAGCCGTGGCACCTGGCTTGAAATGTGGTAGAAATTGATTGATGTCCTTCCAAGGAGGTGACAACTCATTTACTTTTCCAGCAAGAGCAAGGAGGGCTTTGAGCCCGAGTGGCACGGCTGGGTCCACATCTGAGAAAGATCATTCAGTCACTCGTGTAACAAACATGCGCCGTCATCGTTCTCGACTCTGGGACAGGTCAGCAGCACAGCAAAACTCCTGCTCCTGGAGCTGGCATTCTAACGAGAGCCACACACCAGAAGCTGGAGATACGTGGGATGTATCCTGTGGTGGCGGGCACTTTGGAGAAAGACCGAGCAGGGCCAGGCGGGTGGGGAGAATGCCAGCCGGGGTCGGGAGAGGCTCTTTTTTTTTTTTTGAGTTGGAGTCTCACTATCGCCCAGACCGGCGTGCAGTGGCCACTTCCGGCCACCGCAGCCTCAACCTGCTGGGCTCCGGCGGTCCTTCCGCCTCAGCCTTCCAAGTAGCTGGAACTACAGGCGCACGTTCCCACGCCCAGCTAATTTTTCTGATTTATTGTAGAGATGAGGTCTCGCTGCCCAGGCGGGTCTCGAACCCGCGGGCTCAGGCAATCCACTCACCTCAGCCTCCCAAAGACGCGGGATTACAGACTGAGCCACCGAGCCCGGCTGGGAGAGGCTCTTTGACACAGACAACTAGCAGGAGAGTTGCCAGTGCAAAGGCCCTGGGGCAGGAGGTGCTCGAGGCTCAGTGAGGCAGCTGGTTGTGGCCCAGGCATCGCAGGGCAGAGGGGGAGCCGTGGGAGAACGAGCCTCAGGAGGTGGAAAACGTGGGGTCTCCTGAGCCATTCTGGGGAGTCTTTTACTTTGCACGAGGTGGGGGGACCCTGCCTGGCTCTCGGCAGAGGAAGGACGTGACCTGCCTTGGGATCTACTAAGATCCCTCTGGTTGCTGTGTTAGGAATGAATGGGGTGGAGGAAAAAGCAGAGATAATCCAGGTGGGAGATGGGTGTGGGGGGGGTTCAGCCTAGGGTAACACCAGACCTGGGGTCTGTGCTGAAGGAAGGTTCTTTGCTGCCGACGGGACGTGAGGTGTGGACGGCAAGGGTGCCTCGGAGCCTTGGGCCTGTCCGCTGGGGAGATGGCTCTGGAGCAGGTTTTGGGGGACTCGAGAGCAAGTTTTGGGGCTGCCAAGTGAGTCACAGAGCAGAGTCACTCGTGGATCTAGCTGCCTGCCAGACCCTGCTCTTGGAAGTTTCTAGACACCACACCCTCCGCTTGTCCAAAGTGGAAACCCTCCGAGTTCCCCCCAAGACCACTGCCCGGCAGCCCCCGCCCTCGCCAGGACCCTGAGGGCCACCCCTGCTGAGACCACGGAAGCCAGTGGGTACCTGTCAGTCTCCTCTGGATCGCTGGCTTCTGTCTTGAACTGCCACCCAGAACCGTCACCGGGCCACCTCCTGTCTAGACTGTTTCAGCGTCAGGGCCTGCTGCAGAGAAGGGGGTCGGTGCGTGAATAAAGTGTTGAATGAATGAAAGATGGAACGAACAGCTCACCAGCCTCCTTGGAGGCTTGGCCAACCCCGCTCCTCCTTCTGCCTGGCCTCCACATGACCCCAGAGGCACCTCTGGAAACACACACCTCTGACTGCGTCCTTTCCTCTCCCAGCACCCCAGGGCCTGCAGAGACATCCACGGGTGACCTACAGGCATGCTTTGTTTGGCCTACAGAGTGTTTTGGGTTTCTTTAAAATCTTGAATTAATCAGCATATTTTGCACGAAAGCCTGGGTTTCCCATTCCTCTTGAGAAACCAGAAGGGGCTGGGTGCAGTGGCTCGGCCTGTCATCCCAGCACTTTGGGAGGCAGAGGCGAGAGGACTGCCTGAGCCCAGGGGTTCGAGACCAGCCTAGGCAACATGGCAAGACCTCGTCTCTACAGTTAATCAAAAAATTAGCCAGGCACAGTGGTGCGCGCCTGTAGTTCCAGCTCCTTGGAAGGCTGAGACAAAAGGATCGCCAGAGCCCAGCAGGTCAAGGCTGTGGTGGCCGTGAGCGTGCCACTGCACTCCAGCTTGGGTGACAGAGTGAGACTCTGACTCAAAAAAAAAGAAAGAAACCCAAAGGGCTGGTGACACCGGGTGCGGCTCTCCAGGGCGCGTGGCTGAGGGGGCAGTCACCCCGCAAGGGAGCATGGACTCGCTAGTCGGCCTTAAATCTTGCACCCAGCCCACTTCCCTCACTGCACTACCAACCTGGCCCCTGTGACATCAGAGTTGGCGGCCCCTGGCCTGGAGGACCAAAGCACACCTCCGGGTAGTGTGTTGCACGGGGTGAGGCTGACCAGGGAGGGGAGATGGTAGGGGGCGTTGAAAAGCCAGGCCACACAGCCAAGCTGTGAAGGTCCTCGAATGTCACTTTAAGAAGTCTTCATTATCCCGAGGGCCACTGGGAGGAATGAAGCCGGACAGTGACCCTGTCGGGTTCATGTTTTTTAGTCCGGGCCCTCTGGACAGGAAGGGATCAGACAGGGGCAGAGCAGCCAGTGAGGAAGAGGAGGCCCGGGTGGAGGCTGCCTCCTCACAATCTCCCGAGTCTAATCTCAATCTCTCTCTCTCTCTCTCTCTCTCTGTTTCAGAATCAGCCAGCAGCCCTTGGGCACACGTGTGGCCATGAGCACAGATGGACAGTGCTGAGGACCCAGCCTGGCTCCAGCTGCTCCCAAAGGACCTCAGCCCCCGAGGACCCCAGCCCACTGCCCTCTGCTGCCCACAGGATGGGAGCCTGGGGGCTGGGGGCCGGGCCATGAGAGCTTGTTGCCCCTCCCAGCAGAAGGCCAGCCCTGCACCCCCTGGGCACACCCTTGACCAGAGCCCAGGCATGGACTCGGGACACAGGAGCCCCAGTGGGGCTGTGGATGGGGCCTCCTACCCCGAGGGCCCTGGTGGGAGCTTGGCCTGCCCCTCCCCAATCCGCATCCCTCTCCAAGAGGCAGCGTCCAAGGAGACACTGGGGGCACGTGAAGCTCCGATCTCAGGGACACCAGAAGCCACCTTGTCTGAGAAGCCAGAGCCTGTGTCCTCAGTGAAAACCAAGCCTACGTCCTCAGAGCACAGAAATCCCGTGCTCTCGGAGAAGGTGGATTCCGAGTCCTCCAAGCAGGCAGACTCTGCTGCCACAGGAAAGGAAGGTTCTGGGTTCTCGGGGAAGGCAGAGCCCGTGTTTGCAGGAAAGACAAAGCCTGAGATCTTGGGAAAGGGAGATCCCATGGCCTCTGGAAGGATGGATCCCATGACCCCGAGAAGGGAAGAGCTCGGCTCCTTGGAAAAGGTAGAGCCTGTGTGTTCCAGCAACATGGATACGGTGTCCCCAAGGAAGGAGAATCCTGGGTCTCTGAGAAAGACGGAGCCTGTGTCCTCAGGCCGTGTGGGCCCTGCGTCCCCAAGGAAGGAGGCGCCCGGACACCCCGGGAAGGAGCAGCCTGTGTCCTCAGAAGAGGCAGGTCCTGGATGTCGGGGAAAGGCAGAGCTTGTGTCCGCAGGAAAGAGAGGCCCAATGCCCTTGGAGAAGGCAGACCCTTCGTCCTCGGAAAGCACGGCTTCCGTGTCTGCGGGGAAGACAGAGCCTGGGCCTCCGGGGACGCTGACTCCGGGGGCATCCGGCAGGAGTGAGCCTGGATCCTCTGGAACAGTGGCGGCTCCTGGGGCTTCGGGAAGGCTGGATCCTACTCGCTTGAGGCTGGCAGGGCCTGCACCTGCGGGGAATGTAGAAACTGTGTCCTCTGCAGAAGAGCACCCTCGGCTCCTGGGAGAGGTGGGCGCTGCCTCCTCAGGAGAGGGGTGCCTGGAGTCTCCTAGCCGTCCAGAGCCCACGCCTTCAGGAAAGACAGACCTCGAAGCTTTGAAGCCTCCCATGTCTTCAGGCAAGGCAGACCCAGCTTCCTTGGGAAGGGCAGACCCTGCAACCTCTGGGCAGCCGGAGCCCTTGTCTCTAGGGCAGGCAGAATGTGTCCCTGCCGGAAAGACAGAAACTGTAGCCTCAGGAAAGGAGGACTCAGTGTCCTCCAGGAGGGAGGAGTCCATGCCCGTGGGAAGCAGAAAAACATCATCTTCTGAAAGAGAGCATCGTGAATCTTCGAGAAAGACTGACGCTGTGTCCTCAGGTCTAAGGGATCCCAAGTCCCTGGGGACGGCAGGTCCCCCGCCTGCGGTCAAAGCAGAGGCAGTGACGCAGGGGGCTCCCCCCTCCTCGGAGGAGGCAGGTCCTGTGGCCTCCGGAAAGGGGCGCCCCGCAGCCCCCGAGAAGGCTGGGCCCCCGGCTGCGGGCACGGCGGGCCTTGTGGGCCGGGGAAAGGCAGCCGCTGTCCCCTCCAGAGAGGCTGACTCCGCGCCTGGAGGTGAAGGGGTCGCCAAGACTCCGGGCAA